CTATATCTATATCTATATCTATATCTATATGGTGCTTTAAAAGGGCCAATTTCACAAAGCTGAAAATAATCAGAAGCCAAATCAGCCGGGAGAAAGAATGAACAGAAAATATTGTGACTGATCATAGGCTATTGTTTAAAATATTTTACTAAATGCCCAAAAGACCACAGGCTCACAATGAAAAAGAAGCCTACAGTCATGATAAAATAACAGCCTGGCTTACAGGGGAATCACAAGCAATTATAAAAAATAAAGCAACTATAGATGACAAAAATGTTACCTGTGTATTTGGCACAGGTGCGGCCGCTGCTGGAATATGGTGTCCAGTTCTGGTACCAACAAGTTGAGAAAATTGGAAAGGGTTCAGAGAAGAGCCATAAGAATGATTAATGTTTGGAAAACATGCCTGAGATACAAGGAGAGAGAGTGAGTGAGCGAGAGAGAGGTGTATGGTGAGAGAGAGATGGGTTTGTATGAGGGTCTACCCTGCAATCTAGTTGCTCTTAGCTTCTCCAGAGGTAAGCAGGCTGGATGAAGAGAATGGGGGGATTTAACCCATTGTATGCCAGTGGATCTGGTAATATCCTGATGGAAGAAGCAGCCATGAGCTCTTTCCACTGATGTGCAGGCAGATCTTCAGAACAGCACAAGTCAAATTCTCTCTCTCCTGATGTGCTGGCTGATGTGCTGGCTGAACTATTTCACGTGGGTGAGATTGGCGTGCAGGGCTGGACTCCCAGGAAGGTTTGCACACTGACACTGAGTTTAGAAATGCTGATCACAAACAATAACACATCCCACAATTCACTAGGGTTTTTAAGCTGGATTGTATTATGCTTAATAGAGGAGCAAGACATCTTTGCATTGATCAGGTGCAAGGGCATCGACCCAAGGAGGAGAATTCAGGCATATTGAATCCCAGGCCCCTGCTCTAACCCACTAGATTACACTCTTCTCCAATAGCTGTGCATAGAACTCAGAAGTCCTGACTCCCAGCCCCCTTCCTCTAGCCCACTAGATCCTGCTCTTCTCCCACCTCACAGCTGTGGGGGTGGGGATAGAACCCAGGAATCCTGACTTTCATTCCCTAAGGAGAACTTGAATAGAATAGAAAAGAATTATTAAAGTGTCAAGAGGAATCAGACCCAAAGAGATATGTTTCCTGAAACATAAGTACTGCCTGTCCTATAACAGTCCTTAGTGCTGGGGAGAGGGACTAGAAATCTGGACTCATGGGAGGAAAGTGTGGCCTAGTGGGTGGGGAGGTAGAGCTGGTCTAATTTCTCTGTGCCTCATTGTTCATCTCTGAAATGGGACTAATAATACAGCCGGCCAGGAACTTTCAGTTAGTTGGAGTTCCTTATTGTTACTGTAATACAAATATTAATAACAACATTTGAGATGCACAATCAGAGGACTTTCACTTTAGCACATGCTGTTTGCAATCTTAACTAATATTTTACTCCTACTTTAAGAATCCTTCATGCTGATGAAGGTCAAAATCCAAAGAGTTGGGTGGCTGAATCTTTAAATGAGAGATCTTTTCTCCAAAGTGTATGTCAGACTTTTGAGTTATATAGCAATGTGTTGGCATCAGTCTGTCACTCAATAGAAGGGGTGTGAAGCAATGAATCTTTAATAGAGGCAGATTTCCTCCCAAGTGTGTGTCAGATGTCTGAGTAAAATATGTGGTGAGAAAAACAACTGAACAACAACCAAAAAACAAGTGAGCAAACACAGGGTGGGTCCCTGAGGGAGGGGGGTGGGAAAAGGTGGAGCAAGGGCAGGGCCTCAGGGGAAAGGGTGGAGTGGGGGCTGGGTCTTGGGGCGGAGTGGGGATGGAGCATCCACCAGGAAAAATAAAAGTCAGCGCCTTGTGGTCCCGCCAATCTACACAATGGCATCAGGACATTATTTAACACTTGCTTTTCTGACTGCTGGATTTTCCAAGGGGCCCAAGGGAACTAAGACTGGCCAGTGCTAATTTTGGCTGGGAATTTCAAGGAATCATAAGGGATTATATTGAATTTGGACACCTAATTTCCTTTGGCTCCTTGAAAATCCCAGGCATGTGTGAATTGTTCCAGTCATCCCCTCTAATGGGCCTGGCCTTGCAATGGCCATCACTGGATGCCATCAGCCATTGTGTTGCTGTGACAGACCAACACTATCTCACAATGTGCTAGACAAACCCTATGGAATTAAGACAAACCCTTACTGACTTAACTTTAATACCTTCCATTGCATTAAAATACAGTTGTATGTATGCTGTGGTGGAATTGTGTGTAACTCTTCGAGGATCTAATGTAATTCCTCTGTTCTCAGCCTTTGGACACCATCCCTGGAGAGGTTCACATACACTAGTTCAAATTGGATTCTCCAGGGACCAGCAGACAAAGAGGATTTTTGGATAAATAGCCTGGTTTTAAACTGGCTCAGGGCCTTCTTCCTGATCCAGCAAATGGACAGGACCCATGGTCCATCAAGGGCCCCAATCCTTAGGGTAAGGTTAGAAGGACTGGGCCTACTGATGCTTCATATGCCTGGGAGCTTCTTCTGAGCTGAAGTTGTGAAGAACTTGAATCCACAAGGAAACCCCTTGGATGGTGTCATAAACAGACAGTTAAGGGTTAATGCCTCATTTACCTGTAAAGGGTTAAGAAGTTCACCTAGCCTAGCTGACACCTGACCAGAGGAACCCATGGGGGGACAAGATTTTTCAAGAGGAAGGAGGGAAGATTTCCTTTGTCTCAAAGTTCATTTAGTTTTGTGCCGGAGAGGAAAGATCCAGGAATCAGCCTCGCCTCCTATTAAAGTAGTATGTATTAGAGAAGAAATAAATAGGTTTATGTTTATTTTCTTTTGTAACTTGTCTTGTGCATTAGAGGGATAATCAAATTGGGATTTCTTTTGTGTAACTAAGGTTTTGCCCAGGGGAACATCCTCTGTGTTTTAAATCTGTTGTCTGTGAGAGAAACTTGTATGCTCTCTCCCAGAGGTTTTCCTTTCACCTTTCTTTCTTTAATTAAAAGTCTTCTTTTTAAGAACCTGATTAATTTTTTCCCTTGTTTTAAGATCCAAGGGGGTTGGATCGGTGTTCACCAGAAAATTGGTGGAAAAGTCTCTCAAGGTTACCCAGGGAAGGGTTACAGTACTTGGGAGGGAGAGATTTTGGGAGGGAAGACAAAGTTTCCCAAATAACTCATAAACAGCTGTTTTAAACTATTTGGGTGGTGGCAGCAACCAGATCTAAGCTGATAATTAAGCTTAGGGGTTCTCATGCAGGTCCCCACATTTGTACCCTAAAGTTCAGAGTGGGGGTGAAACCTATGACAGATGGGGTTTGGAAGGATTGCTCCAGCCAGAGCCCCTGATGGAATTGGAGTGATCTCTGATAAGCTTATTAGCATAAGCTTGGGCTCTTTTTATTGTTTTTAATATATACACCTCTACCCTGATATAATGCAATGCAATATAACACAAATTCAGATATAACACAGTAAAGCAGAGCTCCGACGGGAGTGGGGGAGGGAGGTTTGTGCACTCTGGTGGATCAAAACTAGCCAAAAAAAGCCACCATTTCCCATTTTTGAAAGAAAACAACATTGGTCAAAAGCCCCATCTTGGCTAAGAGGGGAAGTGAAAGTAGCTGTTAAAACAAAAACAAAAATATAAGCATAACAAATGAAAATAGGGCAGTAGATAATGAATACATATTAGAATCATTGTCACAGTCGTCCAGGAGATTCCAATCTTCCGTAGAAATCTTTCCTTCAGGATTGCCTCATCAAAAGCTACCGGTTGGTGCCTTCTGTTTGCCATATACAGCACCTTTTTCTCCACCTTCACAATGAACACGAGTCTGGCTCTCAGTAGGTGATGATCGCTACCGATATTGAATGATGGCACTACAGAAACATCCTGCATGATGCGTCATCTATCGATCAGAAAGTAATCAATTTCAAGGAATGGTCTTTGAAAATTGTCTCATGCTATTTGAAGTCATCGTGTATTGGGGTGCTTTACCTCCGACTGAACCGAAACAGCACCCTCAAAATCATCCAGATCTATGCTCCCACAAGTGCATGCGAAGATGATGATGTGACTCAAGCAGTGTCTCGCCCCATTAGATAGTACAACAGTCCATCAAGCTTCCATACACAGGCTAGAAATCCCTTTAGCCTAGCACCAGTACTTCCCCAAGTCCAGTCTTCGTTCCTCAGGTGTTTCCAAGTGTTCTCTTGTGTGGGGAGTGGGCTGCTGTGTCACTTCCCCACTTTATAGTTTATTCCATATGGAAGAAATCCCTTGGTTTCAAGCCAATTTCCCAGCCCAGTTTATGGAAAAACACAGGTACCAAAATGGAGTTCAGTATCATATGATCTGGTCACAAGCCCTTGTCTGCTGCCAATGAGTCATGGCAGCCATTGTCCATAGGCTGACTGAAGCATCCACAGGTGAGGATAAGCTCTTCCATGGTCCATTGTCTTTGTTGCTGGTCCATTAGCACAGTTGTATCTGAAAGGCTAGTGGTGGGTGTTTCCAACTTCACAACATCTTGCAAAGTAACACACATATAGCAAAACTTCATAACTTCACATACAATGACAGCACATACAATCCAATGGGTTATTAATGTTCAACAGATCAAGACTTTTAGAATGATACTTCACAAGGCATCTTTTGTACAAAGCATATCATAATTATATAACAATGGTGAATGTGGGGGTTCCAGGGTGTTGCTTTGGGGCACAAAGTGTCACAGTCCCCCTATACCTGAGGGGAGAAAGGATTTATATAGGGGTGTCCCAACTCTTGGCAATGTGGCCAAACCACTGACCTCTGTAATATTCTGATGTAGCCCTCCCTCAGTCTCTACTGTTGAAGCTGCTCCACTGTCAATGAAGCAGGAAAACTAGACTAGACTCCAGGTCTCCCACCTCAGAGATGAAGGCCCAAGCTATCCAGTTTTTTTCTGGCTCAATGACTCTTCAGTTATTTAGCACACAGTGGAACAGCTTCAACAGGAGAGCTTTCCATTGGAATATCCCATATCTCAGTGGTTAGCACACTCTCCTGAAAGGTGTGAGAGACCCTGGCTCAGATCTTTGTTTTTCCTTTTAGGGAGAGCAGGGAGTTGAACCTTGTTATGATAACTGGGGCTAAAAATTTACCCTAACTTTGAACATAACTGTAAAAATTATCAATGTTAATTATCAATTATCAAAATGTCTTGCGTCTGTTGAAGTGGGCATTCACCCACGAAAGCTTATGCTCCAATACTTCTGTTAGTCTTAAAGGTGCCACAGGACCCTCTGTTGCTTTTTGTAAAAATTATGTGAAAGTTCATAAGATGTCACAATAACCTATAATAACAAACTTTGATGGGAGAAGGTTTGAAAGGGAGACAGAAAGACTGAATTGGTCTAAACAAAAAGCTCTTGTTGATCTAATTCACGGACTGCTGAAATCATTCTTGCTAAAAACAAGAGATGTGGTGCCATAAATTAGTGAACCAAAATTGGTGTGTTGGATATTAGGCCTAACTGGTGGACAAAATAATAAGGGGATGGGCTATTCCAACCATTGCTCCCCTTTCTGAGGGGGAAGGAAGAACTGACGGAGGCTACTGGAGCAAATTTCATCATCATAACTGCCATCCCTAACATCTTCTGGGACCTTGCGCTTCCTTTGTCCTCATCCTGAGAGATGTCTGGACCAGACCAGGCCAGAGAAAGGGACACAGATGAGTCCAACACCTCAACCAGCTCCAGCTGAATCCCACAGGCTGGCTGCAATTAAAGGATATTAACAGAGCAGCAATACCAATACCTCCAGCTCATCTCAACCAACTTCTTTTCTTTCACCAAAAAGGACAGTTATTACCATCTTCAATACCGTCTGCGAACTGTCAAACAAGAGGTGTTTTTTCCTTCTTCTATAAACTCTCTTCAGCTAAAGGGAAAGGGAACAAATGATGTTGTTAAAATGAAAGCTTTATTTAATACTTTATACTGAGCATGCCTATTGGATCAGGTCCTGCACACTAAATAGGTCTTTGCCTGCCTATCTTATGCCAGTTCACCTATCATACTGGGGCTTATGTGGGAGTTAGGTGTCTGGACTCCTAGAGTGAGCCAGGACTGCCCATACCCAATGGCAGAAACAGAGGTGCCTAGGGAAATTTGACCCTGAAAACTTAGGCACCAAGTTTTTGGCCGGAGTTTTGTGGGTTGCAGTGAAAGCTAAAACAGGGATTTAGGTGACTGAGTCACATTGTGAGTCACTTAAGCACCTGTATGCTTAACTGTAGATCTTCATGTTTGGAAATTTTAGCCTAAGGAAATTTCCCCAGATAGCAAAAAGAATGTAGCCACCATCTGTTGGCACAGATATAGATCTGCTGACAGAGAAATAAACATCTAGTGAAAGAAACATATATTCTTTATTATATACAAGTAAAAGTCCCAAATGAGGTCAGGAGTCCATTCTCCTAGTCATTGTATATACATATTTTATATACTCCAAAAACCTTCTAATCTAAGATTTATCAAGGACGCTTAGGGCAGTTAAGTGCCCAACTGCTATTGAAAATAAATTAGATTTTGTAGATGCATAAATTTTGGGGTCAGAAGGAATCATTAAAATCATCTACTTCTGACCACCTGCATAGCACAGGCTAGAGATTTTCACCAAGAAATTCCTTCACTGAGCTTGTTACTTGTGGTTAAGATAGAGCATATAACTGTAGAAAGCTGAATGCTTAACTCCCTTAGGGGCCTTTAAAAATGCCAGTCTAAAGAAATAAGAAAGAAGAGAAAGATGATTGTCTCCATTTTAAAGATGGGTAAACCAAGGCACAGAAAACCAGATTTGTAAAGGTATTTGGGTACTTGGAGGGATTTTCAATAGCATCCGGGTGTCTAAAACTCATTGGTTCCAATGGGTGTTTGGCACCTAGTTACTTTTGAAATCCCACTAGGTGCCTAAATACCTTTACAAATCTGCCTGAGTGACTTGTTCAAAGACACAAAGAGGATCTGCTTCAGATGGATAGAATTGAGCTAAGGTTTTCTGACCTCCACTCCACTGCTTTAACCACAACCAGGTGTGTTCCTTTTCAGGTTCAAAGCACTGGAAGATATGCTATAGACTTCAGTGAAAGGATAGCTCAAGGCCTTGATGGTGAAATACCATTAACTTTTTAACAATGCCCACTGGGAAACCTTAGAAAGTTACATGATCAAGGTTGTTGACATTTAAAATTAGATAAGAGAAAGCACATGAGGATTCTGTAGGAAACAGTCCTTCTACTGAGTCAAGAGAATGGGCAAGACACTCAAGGGAGTCTTAACCATCACTTACGTCTGTGGGGCTATAATTTATAAATGCTCCTTGAATCAACTCTTTGCAGATTAAGCAGAATAACTATCCTGCAGCAATCTGTGTCATCAGAAATGTGAGGAGACCAATTAGAACATCTCCAAGGCTTGGGAGAAAGGACAACCACCAGAAAGTTTTCAGAAACTGAATTTTTCAAGGTCTGTTTTCTTTGGGAGATCTGCTGCCTCATGGAAAGCACATGGTGACTGGAGCATGTAGGTAAGTGTATGTCAGAAAGAAACAATTTGTTTAATATCGGAATACGTGACCCCCTGCACGAAAACACCAAGGTGCAGAACAGTGTCTATCCTTTCTCTGTGAAAAGTACAGACCGTAGTTAACATTTCATTTATAGTTTCATTGACAAAAAAAGTACAGCGAGGGATGAAAAATAATAGATTTGAAGAAGAAGTAGAAGTGCAGTTCATAATTTTGCAGAGAATATGTATTTAAGACCCCAGTCATGCAAAGACATATAGGTGTTTTGCTTTCAAACTCTGGCAAATCTGTTTGATTTTCCCATATATCTGAACATATTTAAAATATTTTATGAATTAATTAGTGCTTATCAAAAAAATAGAAAACATTGTGAGGAAATGCATAATTTGAAAGATTTTTGTTAATTCATTTCTTTGTTTTTATGGTGTGATTTTCCATTTTTTACATTTTCAGTGAAATTAAAAATATTCTGTGCATGTGAAAGGATTTTTAAAACATTTTTAAAAGAACAAAGAAGAAATAAATCTCTTTCTCAAAAGTAAGATGGAAAAAATTTTCACACAGGAAGGGATTAAAATTGTTCCACTTTCATATGAAAAATATTTTTAAAAATTTGAATTTCAAAGATAAAACAAGTTTTGCTTTAGAATTTCAATTAATGTTTAGATTTATTTCTGTGAGGCGTGAAATGGTAAATCCCCATTGTACAGATGGCAAAGTGAGGTACCAATGCTGAGAAATTTTCAAAGGGGACTAAAGGAATCATAGAAGATTAGGGTTGGAAGAGACCTCAGAAGGTCATCTAGTTGAACCCGCTGCTCAAAGCAGGATCAACACCAACTAAATCATCCCAGCCAGGGTTTTGTCAAGACAGGCCTTAAAAAGCTCTAAGGATGGAGATTCCGCCACCTCCCTAGGTAACCCATTCCAGTGCTTCACCACCCTCCTAGTGAAATAGTGTTTCCTAATATCCAACCTGACCTCTCCTACTGTAGCTTAAGACCATTGTTCCTTGTTTCGTCATCTGCCACCACTGAGAACAGCTGAGCTCCATCCACTTTGGAACCCCCATTCAGGTAGTTGAAGGCTGATATCAAATCCCCCCTCACTCTTCTCTTCTGCAGACTAAACAAGCCTGGTTCCCTCAGCCAATCCTTATAAGTTATATGTCCCAGCCCCCTAATCATTTTTGTTGCCCTCTGGTGGACTCTCTCCAATTTGTCCACATTCTTTCTGAAGTGGGGGGCCGAAAACTGGATGCAATGCTACAGACGTGGCCACACCTGTGCCGAATAGAGGAGAATAATTACTTCCCTCAATCTGCT